TCCAAGCTGGACGATGGTGGCTTTCAAGATGACCGGTCTACCTGCTGCATCTTTGCAAGGGACTGTCAAAAAAGCATGTTCAAGTGATGTCTGAACTTCATGCGTTCCTGGTATGACGATCGCTAGGCAATCACTTGAAATACGCTGGCCTTCACGCAACCATGGTATGGCATCATTGATGGAGAGCAAAACTACACCTGTGGCCTTGCTACTCACCTCACACAATTGTGGAATTGGTTCATCTGCTTGGTTGAGAAAAAAATTTGGCTCAATCTTGTATTCTTTGGGATCAATTTCGACTGCAACTCTTTTCTTGACACGATTGGCACCTTTCTGCGCTGTTTTCATAGCGGCTTTGTTTTGGTGAGCTGGTGGTGCGATGGAGCAATCCTCGCAAATTTGCATGATCATGTCAATTCTCTGTTTGCCTGGTGGCAGCTTGGTCACCTGCAGTAGTGACTTCGTACCTACTTGCGAGATGATGGCCTCTGTCGTAGAAGCAACCCAGTCAAGCGAGTAGCCTTCTTCAAGAAGAGTAGCAGCAATGCTGTTTCGTAGGTAGGATTTCTGAGAGTCTTTTGCTCCTCCTGTTCCTCCACTCATCTCTTCAACCAACTGCAGCAACAAGAAGTCAGCTGAAAGTGTCTCCTGCTTGAGTTCAGCAACGGTCATGTCACATCTTTGCTTGGCTTTGTACACGATCCTGACATGTCGTCCCAGCAATGTTGGAAAGAAGGCAATTTGCAAAAGTGCAGAAATTGTGGTCATGCTGATGTCATCAGGAAGATTACCGTCCCAGACCGTTCTGTTCTTCCATTTGATGAGGATTCTTGTTTGCCCTGTTTGGTGAAGAGAATCTAGGATTCTTTTGGCTGCTGCAATTGTCATCATGGTTTCAAAGGCATCGGGTGGTATTGGCAGCAAGTGTCCGTATGCAATCTTGGTGTGCTCAGGAAAGTGCCACACAGAAACCGTGGCATGCAGTTTCTTCATGGTATCTGCAGTAAATAAGGAATGCCAAAAAGAAGCCAGCGTCTTTCTTTCAGTTTCTCCCCCATAGATTGTGATGATGTTTTGCATCTTCACATAATCTCTAAGGACAGAGATCTGGGCATTTCGGAAGGCGGCCAAAATGAAACATGCACTGCAATCAAGCTGTTCATGCTCTGGTTTGAAATCTAAGAGAAGTGAGCAAAAATCAACCTTGTGCGCAACACCAATGATCCCAAACTGATCGTATTTGACACACTCCAGCTGTTTGTCTGCAAGGTTCACTGCAACAGTTTTGGATCGATCAAGCTTGAGAAAAATCATCTTCTCTTGTTGGATGCAGGGCGTGGCAAAGCTGTCTGGGATTTCGAGATCTTGAACGTTGGTTGCATGTTTCAAAACAAAGGCAAATCCATCAACTGCATGCAAATTGTCTTCAATCACGACTTGTCCATTGAATCTATGGATTAATTCATGTGGAGCAACTTCGGAGTCAGTCCAGGCAATCATTTGTGTGTCCGGTGTCTTCACTTTGATTCTCAACATGGGCTGAAATTGCATGGTGGCAGTCGGATCCTCAATTTCCTCTGCCGCTGGTGTGGTGATTTGTGAGGTGTCTTCGATGGTTGGCTCGAATTTCAGCGCATTTTCTGCAATCAGCCCTTCACTAGGAATCCATATTTTTCCATCTGGCAGGCCAAATTCAATCTTCAAGTCTTGCAGAATGTCGAAATTGGCAAGATTTTGAATCCAATCTCGTGAGTTGTCATGTGTACGCACAAACATGCTGGCAAATCTTCCTGTGATCCTTCTGCATTCTGAAACTCGGAGGCGATTCTGAAAAAGTGCATCAAAAACTTCTCGGATTTCCAGTGAAACCTGGAGTTCAGGGAGCATGTTGATTGCATTTGCCAGTAGCAAGACTGCATGCGGACAGGTTATCATGTTGCCAGTCATGGTCCATGTCTTGGTGAGGTCATGCATGTAAAACACTTCTCCATATGTGATGTGGGACATCTGCAATTCAGCTGGGTGCCATAAACGAAGTGTTCCCTCATGGTCAAGGAAATGTCCGTAGTACCCTTTGTTTTCCAAAGTGCTTCTAGTCATGAGGTGTTGCTGACCATACTTAGCCATGACGGTGGGTTGTACATCCGAAGGAAGGCTGGTCCTGGCTTTCAAAATTTCATCACCACTACAGTTCTTAAATTTCTTCATGAAAGGTGGTAGCATGGTGGTATCTTTTGCACATGACAGCATGAGTTGCGTGACATGGAGCGAATCAGAATCTGGCACTGGATTTGCGAAAACTGCATCAAGCATGACTGGATCAAAGACCCCAAAATCTGGCCACATCTTGAAAGGCAATCGTTGGATTTGGGACGTATGGCGATTGATGGCCAAAGCAAGCCATCTGATTCTGGTTGTAGCTCCAAACTGTGCTGCATCAATCACTCTTTGCCAGGCAAGCTGATAGCCTACATGCTTCAAAACTTTCAGACAAATTGCCTTGTGTTCATGTGTGGAAAACCCATTGACTTGCTCCAGCAAAATCGCAACAGGCCTGAATTGACGGCACTTCAAAATTGCAGTTGGGAGAAGGCAACCCTGGTCACTGTGCAAACCTAAGCCTGCTGCTGCGGAGCTCCATGGTTGGCATGGTGAACTAATGGTCATCAGATGCACTCCCCAATTACAAATAGAGGTTACCCAAGAATCATCATCGATGTCCCCATGAATCACGAAATCACCTGAAAAAGCCGAGAAGTCGATCTTGGATTTTGCCGTCTTTGCATCAATGAGCGTTGCATTATGTGTCATGGCATACGACACACAACTTGGAAAGTCATGATCCAAGGCAACTGTCTGCATGGGAATACGAAAATGATCTTTGAGAAACCTGCATCCATGTTTCCATCCTCCATATCCACCTGAAAAAGCTTCAAGGACATGCAAAGGAGGGCAAGGCTTGGGCGATAGGGGAAGCAAGAGTGTCTCACTGTCAATGGTCCATGCAGAGCCGTCCAACTTCGGGTAGGAGTCTTTGACATCCCACAGCAACATCTTGCCATGCAAATCTTTCTCAACTGCACAGTTGAAAGCAATCATCACTGGTTCACCATTCTTTGTATCGGCATGTCCAGGAAAACAACCATTCACAAACATCTGTCGACTGGATCCCTCAATGATTAAGGGTGTTCCTTTCAAAAAGGACATCTCCGCATCAAATGACAACTGAACATCATCAAGGAGCACATGATTCCTTTCTGAATGCCACTTACACCCAGGTTGATCATACACATCGAAATCTTGAAGAAGATCCAGCAGTTTGACAGGAATGTTGTCCATGGCTGAGTGAAATGTCCTGGCCCCGTTTGCTAGCTACCAATGCTAGTCAGAAACTCACCACTAGAAGGTCGGAGCCGAAAGTCCACCTGAATTAAGGCTATTTGGGGAGGATTTCCCTTATCAACCATGATTCCAGGGCTCGGGAGAACAGTGAGGTCGTGATCAAATTTACCCAGCATTATGTCTAGCCTCTTACTTTGTCGTATATCCTGATACCCTCTGGTAAATTAACATTAGACCCTGAAAATCACCAATTTTTAGAGGAAACTAATCTTCCAACCCCTATCTACCAGGGTAAATTGGGATATCTTCCCTGAGCTTCGGAAGCCCATGCCTCCCAGGGGGGTCCCATGGTGCCTCAGAGGGATGAAACTTCTCACCGTTCGGCCATAGAACTTCCTGTCGTTGCCATGGATCTGGGTCCCAGGTACTAAGTGGCGTGGTTATATACCATGGTTATATGTAAAAATAATTGTTCACATATCAGTGCTATATATATATATAATACATATATTGAGGTTATACTAAAACTCGTATCAAGTACATAGCCGCTTATCAGTTGATAATAAATTATCATATTTTTTTGTATATAACTGGACATAAACGACGGTTGTAACCTCTATCCAGTGACTCATTGGGATCGACACCCAAGCGGGTGGATCCCACAAATGTTTTTCTGACGACTCGTTGCAATGGTAGTTTGTCTCTGTCCTTTGAAACTTGTGCAAAGCACGATGTGCGAACATGTTAAAATATACTTATGATACTTATTGTTACTAGTATCTGTGGATAAATCTAATATTAAACAGCACATATTCTCATATGCAGGTTTGGGCCTGGGTCAGAAAAAAAGGGGCGCAACAAGATGGATTCACAACACACTGCCCATTCATCATTCAAGAAACCTGGCACTCACATTGCTAGATGATTCTCCGGATGATTCTCCAGATTCGATAAAGGATTTTCAAGTGCTGAATAAATCTGATTGCGGAAAGGTAAACCTTTCATATTTGCTCAGCAATATGACCATGGCATGTTTAAAAACATCGGGTACCAAGGATGTTCCGTATTGCTCGCCTTGCAGTGAAAATGGAGTTCTTCTGAAAATTCAACGTGCCGAATTCTTCCCTTCGATTAAACCATATTGAACTATTTAAGCGCCACATTTGTTGCTTGAATATGCTTGAATGTTGTTTTTTCAGGTGGTCGCAATCCAGAGGTTGGCTGTGCATCCCAGTCAAGACACGTTCGGTCAAGAACCATGCCGTAACCCAGGGTCAAGTATGGGATGCTTACCCCACGATTCCCGCGTCGCATTTGTTGGTTACATGCCCAAGTCTAAACGGTTGGATGCAGATTTGAAGCATCAAATCATGTTCAATCCCTCTTGTTGCTGGTGACCCAATCAGCCAAGCTTCTGAAATCCAAATCCTTCTTAGTTACCCTCTGGTTATTTAACATAGCCATGGAACATCACCATGCTATTAATAGGCAACCATCTATTTCTATGGGCCATGGCTTCCATGGCTATGTTAGTCATAACCAGAGGGTACATCACGAATAAAACTCACTTCAATCCACACGATTCCATCGTTTTTTCCATCGTTTTTTCGTTGCTTTCCCCACGGGTCAAACTCCGGAAAAAAGCCGAGCCCACTTCGTCATAGCCGGTGGCCACTTGAAACGTCCTGACAGCTCTTCAGGGTCACTTCGTCTTCCAGGAGTCGGGGCGGATCCTGGCACCGGGAAACACCATCCATCGATGTTCAGGAGAAATGCTGAAGAACCAACAACATCCAACAACAATTAATGATAACCAACTGGAAATAGTATGGTTAAACTATGGTTAATCAATGGTTAAACTATGGTTGAGCTATGGTTAATCCATGGTTCATTTGTGCTTTCCAACAACCAGTATAATCAATGGTTTAAACTATGATAGACCATGATAGACCATGATAGTATGATAGTTAAATCAACCTGTATGATAACCAACTGGAAATAGTAACACAACGTCCAACAACTATATATATACACTATTTAGCTATCAACAACTATATGGTATGATATTATCATTCGGGTTAATACCATCCGTAACACCATCATACAACATCCAACAACTATATAGTATGATAAACAACTATGGTATTACTCCGTGGCTGCCATGGCTAGTTGTTGGTTAAACACCATTTCTCCAAAATCGAGAGAATGATAAACCATGATACTAAATGGTTTTAAAGAAATGATCAACCATGATAGTATGATCAACAGGGTTGATAGTTACTGACTATGGTATTCCTATGGTAATCAACTATGGTTCATGATTATGATGAACATCAACAATGAAACATAGTGGAACTATGTCCTTCACCAAAAACTAAGGTGGAAATAGAAACATAGCTTGATAAACACATGTATAACATTAGAAACAATAAACGAAGGCTATTCACCATTTCTCAGGTGAAACATAAGTACCAATGAACAGTTAAAATAGCCCTGAAATGGATATCACTTCCTGGCACTTGGATGTAACCCAGGGATAATCAACAAACACCTGCAATTTCCCTCTGGTAATTTAACATAGCTATTGAAAATGGCCCATTTATAGTGGATTTACCCATTGAAAATGGTGATTTCCATAGTTATGTTAGTTTACCAGAGGGTAAATCCACCTAATACTATTGATAGTCAATAACCACAGGATAATAATACTGATGGGCGATCATATATCATCAACAGGGTTATTAACAGTGAAACTAACCCTGAAATTGATGGCACTTCATATAAGCCATCAATATGGTTAATTTGTCATTAACAGGGTTGGTATAACTAGTGAGTAATATCATAGTAGCCATCTACCATAATCATACAGCTATACATTGAATATAAACATGGAAATGAGCAACCATAGAAATGATATTGATGAGATACCCATTCCGTGTGTTCTGAGAAAGGCTTAATAAACCATCGCTAGAAAAATGTTTTTTCCGGCTCGTTAGATCAATGGGACATTTTTTCGGTTGCAGGAGGCTGACATATCTTTCTCGTTCTTCGGTTGACACGGCTGACTTATTGACCAGGCTGAAAGCCAAATCACTAAATGGGTATGGATCAATACCTATTAATACCATTTTTAGGGGGATGAACATCCATAAATCCCAGCTATTTTGATGTGAACTACAGGGGTACAAGGTTTTGACACACTGCCAAATGGGATTGTCCCCTGTTTCCCAAAAGTCTCGCAGCAGGGGATTCTTTTTCCGATGCCCCTTCTTTGGGGGGAAGCAATGTTTGAAAGAAGATCGCTTATCAATGGGATGGTACTATATATATATACTATACTATATATATATGTACACACATGCGATCTTATCCTAGTTGCCAACCATAGTAGCGAATTCAGCGACAATGACAATCGTGTCTTGGCAATGGTGTGGGTTGTAGTTGGCAATGGTGTGGTTGTAGTTTACAAACAAATTCTAGAATATGGCATATGAAATCAGAACATGTTGCAAGTAAATGTGAATAAGTAAACGCCTTCAACTTGCATCTTCCCGAAATAAAAAAAAATCGGCCAAGGTCCAAGAGCAAAGTCCAATTCTCTATTTACTTATATATATATGTACCCTCTGGTGAACTAACATAGCAATGGAAAATCACCATTTTTAATGGGAAAATCCACTATAAATGGCCATTTTCAATTGCTATGTTAGTTCACCAGAGGGTATTTCCAGTATAAACTATCACCCAAGTTGCAGTGCCAACACACGGGCCAAATAGAGACAGCCCCGGATACCTCGATGTCAGAGATCTGCAAATAGATTTGACGGATTTTCAAGTTTTTCACCTGACACGGTCTGACGCGATCATCCAGGATGATACCAATTGCTGGAGAAAAAAAAGGGGTTCCCAGCTCATGATATAGTAACAAACCATTTATAGACCTACATATATATATATGTATATATGTACACATATGTAACTGGGTAGCATGAACCTTGTTACAGAAATCAGTATTCTGTGGGCATTAAAACAAAACAAACAGTAAAAGCATATAACCCATTTAAATCTAGTATTGATTTACCAATTTCAAGAATCATCTCAAAACGGTGAATAAGAAACGCCCAGTTCACCCAACTTGTTATCAATGAGTCGATCCTGATCGGCCCCAGGGCTTGGTTTATCCCCCCCATTTTTGGCTGGTGAAAGTGGTGGATAACGTCCAGGTACTATTCCCCATCAACATTAATTAAGGGTTTATTGGAGCACTATTGATAAAGCATGATCATTGGAGGGCAGCATCAAACTTCCATGATCAACCCACCAACCCACCCCACCACCTCAATGTTCCGCTCTGACGGCACCAGACTGATCTCAAGATCTGCTTTTGTGCCCGCGTGGACCTTGCTGCCAGATGCGTTGGGCGATCGACACTGCAGACATTGATATGTCAAAGGCTGGTTGGCGTGACTGAAAAAATCAACTAATGTGGTTAAATCTATCATAAACCATACCCTAGTCATGACCATTTTTATGGGTGGTATAAACCATAAAAATATGAGTGGTTTATGGTATTGTTTTCCATCACCTCGCACAACCCGCATAAAGCGGAACTTGTCGCAGGAACAGGGCTACAGCTAAATTTCCCAGTATCCATAGTTATGGGGAATAACAATAACTATAGTTGTGGGAATATAGTGTTATGATACTATAACTATTTATAGTATTCTATTACAGTATCTATAACCATATATAGTTGTATAATCATCATAACAACGATAACTATAGATATGTGATGGTTATTTGGGATTATTTGGGGTGATATAGTTCTATAACTACAAATAACTAGAGTTGTGGGAGTTATGGGTGATACTTTCCCTCCAGTAAATTTACATAGACCCTGCCAGATAGGGGTTGAAAGATTAGTGTCCACTAATTAATTTTGATAGCGATTCCCAGCTTCCTCTAATGGATTGTTCTAGTTATATCCTAGTTATATCCACATTAACTATAGTTATATTCCCCATTATCTATAGTTACATAACATCAAATATAACCATCTCACCCCAAAATAAGCATCACATCACCAGTCCAAACCCCCGTGCCACCGCTCCGCCAAGCCACGTTCAGCGCAGCCGCATAGCCTTGGGCTTCACCCGTCAAGGCGTGGAGCTTGGGGTTGTAGCCGTCCACACGTAGCACCTCATAGGCGTCCATGGGTCGTTCAAGCAGGGTATTTACCATGGAAAAACCATGGGAAAACCATCGGAAAATGGGGGTTTAACATGATTTAACCAACCAAAATGGGGATTTTATGGGATTTCTAGCTGATTTATGGAATCCCCCTTTTGTTCAAATCAAAATCACTGGGATTCTTGGATGGATGTTCATCCCAAATACGATGAACGTGCACTTGAGTTTTGCAGTCACCAGGTTATTAACAAAGAGCTTGTGATTTCTCATCAACAAAAAATGGAAATCAAACCTAGTCTTAGATTAGATGCTTAATTTCCCCATCTAATTAATAGATTTCAAGAATTAGATGGGGAACTTTAACACCAATCCCAGTGTTTTGATCCAGCCCCCATGGGGATGAAAAACCAACCCAATTCCCAGCGGTCCAGTCACACGGACCCATCATATAATCCCCCAATATCCCCATATCATTTCGGAAATAATAACAATGCTGAAATATATCCCCATGTAACAATAATAATGACATATATATATATACATACGAATATATATATATATGTCCTCATGCTATACAGATATTGGAACGATGACATCTCCATCTTTTTTCGGGCTTCCGAAGTCGCCAAGGCGCCGCGTCCAGCCAGACTTTGCCTCCGGCATGTTCCACGTAGCCCACGTGGCCGTAGCGCAGCACCGGCGGAAAGCGATGGGAGGAGGTCAGCAGGTTGTTGTAGTTCACCTGGGGCAGGAAAAATGGTGACAAAAAAAGGGACTTGAAGTGCTTAGTTGTTTGGGTGGTGAAAATAAGTACCAAATTTGGGACAATACAATAATATATTGTATACCATATATATATATCATATATCATATGTATATCATGAATATATCATGTGTATATATATATAATGTATATCATGTATATATATATATATATATTTACAATTACCTGATATTATCCCCATATCATATTGTAATATATCATAATATTGTTTGTTCTATTCCATTCCGTTTCTATTACATGATATTCCATATATTTCCATATCATATCCCCATATCATAGGATTTTTAAACCATGGCTACACTAGTCATGATATTTGTTCATATTAAACATGATGGAAATGCCATGATGGGCCATGATGTCACCATGATATTAATAGTTATTAGTTAATAGTAACAATGATTAATTAGCCATAAACAATCATAAGCCACCCATTTGGGAATGGTGAAAAAGCAACCTATTTATGATGAAATCGGGGGTTGGTTCTTATTCTTCGACCCGCATTCAATCATATTCCATATCATCCCATCTCATACAAGGTGGTGCCCCCCCAGTTATAAGTTAGTCTATAATCCCCAGTAACTATAGTTATAAGTACCATAAACCATAGTTATTAGACCTATAAACCAACTTAGATATCATCTATAGTTCTACCATAAACCATAGAATTCAGCCACTAAACCAACTCAGTTATCTTGGGGGCCCCAACTTTGTAGCTGGTTGGTGGTTTTTACCATCTTGAAAAATATTAGTCAATGGGAAGAATTATCCCATATATTATGGAAAATAATCCATTCATGTTTGAAACCACCAGCAAATAGTCAGATGCTTCATGACTTTTCCAGGACCCGAAGAAATCCTAGGCCCCAACTTTTTTTTCGGATCTTGTAAAATGGCCAAGGAAACCCATGGCATCCCACCTTGTTGGCCCTCAACGGCAGCGGCGCCGGCAGCCCGTCCGCGTCGCTGGGCGCGGCGCCCGCGGCGCCGGAAGTTCCGGGCCCGCAGGGCCCGCAGGGCCGGCAGGGCCCGGCGGCGCGTCGCTGCCAGTGCCCAGGAGCTCCTGGTGAAGCACCTGCGACAACTTCAACCAGCCCAACAAAATTGGTGAAAAACTAACAAAAATGGTTAAAAAAATTGGTATGACTATGAAAAATGGTGAAAAATGGTGGTTTAACTGTGAAAAATTGTGATTTTGTCGGCAATGATAGTGATTTAACGATCAAAAATTACGATTTTAAGAGGACATCATAATGAATTGTAGGGTGTTTTTTGTTCTTAACTCAAACAGATGGGGAAATCAATAATAAATGATAATGGAGCCATTTAAAACAGCATAGCTGACTGGGTAATATAGAAGGGTATACTAGCTGGTTTATTGGGGATTATTAAGATAATTGCAGCCCAAAATAGGGTTGCCTATCTACCAACTGATATTATAAGATGGGATAGCCGTTGTATCGGTTAAGACTGGGTCGTATTCGATGACCCAACTTGAAATAATTGACGTATTCTGATGTTCACTCTTATTTCAAGTCATCAGAATATTCAAAACAAGTTTCATGGTTTGGATTTTAATGGGACAATACAGGTATAAAACCAACCATCAATGATGATATGTCGTGGAAATCGAATGGCGATAAATACATAATATATATATATAGTGTATATATATATAGTGTATATATATATGTATATAGTGTGTATATATATATATAATGTGTATATATATATACCATATTTAACCAACAACAGATGTGATGCTGGGATGGTTATAATGGGAACATCATCATTAAAAAGAAGGTATTTTTTGGGTTATAAATATTTCGTGGGATCGGATGGGATTAATCTAACCGAAAGTTGTTGCTGGTCAAAAAATGCGAAAAAATTGGACTTTTTCTAGTGGATTATATACTTACTACGTGGGTTTTGTGTAGTGTATTGCAAGCCAACTGACTACTATAGTATGGTAAATTTGGTGTTTGCTAACTAGGCATAGTAGTTTCTAGTAATTTGTAGTGGACAACGAACTATTTACAGCAACTATGTATATATATATATATACGTGGTAACTATTAGTATCATGGGTTATATACCCTATTTGTATAATGCGTTATATACCCATTTACAGTAACTATTTAAGTAGTGGACCTTGGTATTATGAACCGTTGGTTATATATATATACATATATGGGTAAATTATAATATTTCACTAACCTGAATTAAGGCCATTTTGGGATGATTCCCTTAGTAACTATGGTTATAGTGAGGTCGCAGTGAGGTCGTTATAATTTACCCATATATATATATATATGTATATACATATAGTTGCTAACTGGGTAGTGGATTATATCGAAACCAATATTAGGTTACAATCCACTATACCCAACGTTATACGAAACGAACTACTACGTGCTGGGTAATATAATAACAATATAATCCGCTGAGCTTAATATATATATACATATATTTATATGTGTATATATATACACATATATATATACATATATGTACATATATATATATATCTGTTACAAGTATTCTACACCGGTTGGAACTCGATATACACGATTATCAGCCACCTGTCGCCTCCAAGTGGGGCACCTGTCGAACGCCGATGGTGTCCGCGCTGACGGGGACACCAAGCTTTTGGCTTAGCCTTGGACGATTTCGTCCACTGGGACGATTCGGAATCCCACCGGGGTTAGCCGAGCCGGCATGGAAAATAGCATGGAAGATACTAGGTTTTCACCAGGTTTCACCAGGTTTTACTAGGTTTTACTAGGTTTTACCATGTTTTATCAGGTTCTACCATCAAAAATGCCATATCTTACCATGCTTTACCATGGAAAATACCGCGGTTTACCATGCTTTCCTGTGGTCGATTTGACGCATGATGTGGGTTCAACGATCAAACATGCTAGCTTTCCACAACTAAAATAGGGATCATCAATTCACCCACCCAAACGCTTGGATTTTCGAGCTGGACTCCCAACCGTCCCGGTAGATGCAACTCCCCCTTTTCTGAGTGGATGAAACTCCCATGGCTGATGAAATCTGATGCCATTCCCGTTTTGCTTTCGGAAATTCCACTGTTCCTACCCTGGGTCCCCGGGCAAAGAGGAGAAATGACTTGAAACCTCCGGTGGTTTGCCGCGCAGCTCCTGCCACTGGGTACCCCAAGTAGAGACCGTTGGGTCGTTTTTTTTCTAAACTCGGGTACCTTCCCCAGTAATTGTCTCCCCAGTAATTGGGGTACTTTTCTAGACAGGTAGAAGAAAATCTAACCATCTGGTTATTTAACATAGCCATGGAAAATGGCCCATTTGTAGATGGTTTACCTATTAAAAATTGTGATTTTCCATGGCTATGTTGAATAACCAGATGGTAATTGTCTTCTCCAGTAATTCCAGTGGATCTCTGTGCAAGTGTGAGTAGCAAATCTGCACATTGGAGTGGCAAATTGCTGAAGATTGTGAGATTTTTGAATAATCATTGGCACCAAACAACCATCTTGCTCAGCCATTGGGATATTTTCCAGGAAATTCTGATAATGATTGCGAATCACTGAAAACTATCCAAAATCATCAATATCTGTGAAAATTAATGGTTTAATACCAAAAAACAATGTGGGTCCAGAAGTATTCCATGTGTGATTAATAATGGCAAAATCTGAAATTAGGCATGGCAGATATGTTGTGCTTATCGGGTTTACCACATGACTAAGAAAAAATCTAAACAACTTGTGATTATTGGTCATACTATTGGACTCGGACAACATCTACATATATACTACATATAATGTCAGTTTATTTCATATTGTAGTATGTACATGATTTACTGATACAATCATCTCCATGATATGGACATAATATACATGTATATATTATATCATGGTATACACTTTAAAATGTCATGAATCCTTTAATAAACCATCCCATTCACCAACCATTTCATAGGCTTCCATGAATCATCAGATAGTATGAGAAATTATTGGTGATCCTGCAACCCGTACTATATCATTACCCTCTGGTAATTCAACATGGCTCTTGAAAATGGCCATTCATAGTTGATATACCTCTTAAAGATGGTGAGTTTCAATAGCAAACTGTAAACGTTTACTAGAGGGTATATCATTAAATTTCACTACACCCCATTGAATTCCATTAAAACTGGGTAAATTATATATGTTTCACTCACCTGCATAGTTCGGCCATTTGGGGATGATTTCCCGAAAATAAACCATGATTCCACAGTTCGGGAGAACAGGGTTCGGTCGTTATAATTTACCCATATATATGTATAGACATACTGCAGTTACTTGGACGGGTATCCTACTGGCTATTTCAGCATCCAATTTAATTAGTTCTATCCCCACTTAGAGTAATTGCTGATATCATCAAGGGATTATATTGGATTTTGGCATAGGAATTACCCACAAGTATACCCTCTGGTGAACTAACATAGCAATGGAAAATCACCATTTTTAATGGGAAAATCCACTATAAATGGCCATTTTCCATTGCTATGTTAGTTCACCAGAGGGTATAAACTCAGACAAAACAAACCCATTCCCATGACATCCGCATCCGCCATCTCCAGCTTCGTGTGGAGCAGCACCGATGCCCAGGGCTTCCGTTTCAGCACCAAGGGCAAGGCCGAGAGACCCTGCAGACGCATAGCTTGCACCACCTGGAAATCGGCGGAGCTACCGGATGAATAGGATGAGCTATACCCTCAATATGATGTATATATGATATACATATGATATAGATATGAAATAGATATGATATAGATATGATATAGATATGATACAAAAATGATATAGATTTGATGTAGATATGATATAGATATGATATAGATATGATATAGATATGAAATAGATATGATGTAGGTATGATATAGATATGATATAGATATGATATAGATATGATATAGATATGAAATAGATATGATATAGAAATGATATAGATATGATATAAAAATGATATAGATTTGATATAGATATGATATAAAAATGATATAGATTTGATGTAGATATGATATAGATATGATATAGATATGATATAGATATGAAATAGATATGATGTAGGTATGATATAGATATGATATAGATATGATATAAAAGTGATATAGATTTGATATAGATATGATATAAAAATGATATAGATTTGATGTAGATATGATATAGATATGATATAGATATGATATAGATATGAAATAGATATGATGTAGGTATGATATAGATATGATATAGATATGATATAGATATGATATAGATATGAAATAGATATGATATAGAAATGATATAGATATGATGTGGATATGATATAGAAATTATATAGATATGATGTAGATATGATATTGATATGATTTAGATATGAAATAGATATGATGTAGATATGATATAGATATGATATAGATATGAAATAGATATGATATAGAAATGATATAGATATGATATAAAAATGATATAGATTTGATGTAGATATGATATAGATATGATATAGATATGAAATAGATATGATGTAGATATGATATAGATATGATATAGATATGATATAGATATGATATAGATATGAAATAGATATGATATAGAAATGATATAGATATGATATAGATATGATATAGATATGATATGATATGGTGATATATGGATATAATATGATGTGAAAATGGTGATGATATGGATATAATACGGTGATATAATGTTATATGGGCTATATCCCCACTTATAGATGGTGCTATATGGCTTATAGAGTTTTATCAGCCACTTCCCCATGAATGTTAATGTCAACCGATGCTCATTGGAAAGATAGTTGGAAACATGAGAGGTCTGTGTCTATATTACCCTCTGGTAAACTAACATAAACTATGGAAAATCCCCATATTAAATCGGAAAATCCACTATAAATGGCCATTTTTAATAGCTATGTTAAATTACCAGAGGGTAAGCTTTTATATAATTAATCAAACAATGCTAAAGTTAAATAGTGTTGATGTTAGTTGATCTTGATTTGACCATACATAACTATAGGATGACTGACAAACTGAGGAACATTGATGATTTAAGCAGAAATCCTTGTTTTGCCATGAAGATAGAGGTTCTACCAACAAAAGCAGAAGATAATGGATGAGAACAGGGGTTTAACAAACCAACTATTGGTTTATAAATTCAAGCCCAGTACATAAATAACCCCAAAAGCAAAGTAGGTCCGAGTCACTGTGCAAGTCTCTATGCAAGGTGGATTACACACCGATGTAACACAAACCTATACAACTCGCGGTTATACTACGACTGACAAACTGCGGAAGTGCCAGGAAGTGGTTGCAACTGGGTCATAGTCTGTATAGGGTAAAAATTGCTGTGACTGATATGTATAGGATCAATGGTTATAACTACATATGCCGCGAATGATCCAAGCCAAATGGTGGTTTAATCAAACCAAAATGGTTGCAATCCAGTCAGTGAGTAGTTAAGATACTAGGTGGTTGAGATAAAAGGGATATATACCCAAGCTACCCTCTGGTTATTTACAGTAACATAGCTAGGGAAAATTGCCCATTTACAAATGATTTTCCCATTATAACCTCCATTTATCATGGATTTTCCAGTTCGCTATGTTAAATAACCAGATGGTAAATCAATGTTTTTAAGATTTAGCCAAAACTGGGTGAGACAATAGGACGCATCACCAGTCCTGCCCAAATACCTAATAAATATCCTCAAGCTCCCTGTATTCAACGTTGAGTATGAGGATTGTATAAGCTATTTATGTCCGGCAAAGGGTTTACCCGCAGTTTAGTGCAGTTAACCAATTGATTTTGATTAATGCAACCCCATATCAAGAGGCAGGCTATTAAGTCGTCGTGTATTTTTGAAAAAATTGACGCTTATTACGGTTAGAGCCACATGACATGTGTTGCTTATGTTCTCATTATATCCATTTAAATCTGCCGATCGCACGGTCTAACACCGTTTCTGAGGCCGCTGGGAGGATTGTTCTCCCCCCAAGCAGGAATATTACGTGATACATGTATATATATATATATGTACATACTCATCATATATATATATACTCATCATAAACCTCATTGTTGACGGTTGAAGCCCTAGTTTTTCGGCTAAAACCCCCATCTCCATTTTCTTCATGGTGGTGGATATATCTATAGTTACGTTTAACAACACATCTACGTTTCTACATAAGATAATCATAAGATTGTAATTACAATATGTTCATATGGTGTCTCAGAATCATCTCTGGTACAGCAAGAGGACCCCAAACGATAGGTAAGTTGGTTTACAACTTTGGTTGAACTAGGCTAGCGATTGCATTTATGGTTGATATGTCACAAACTAGTTGCCCTCTCGTAACGTAACATAGATCTGGAAAACCCAGCTAGGGGTTTTCCACATCTTTCTGTATGTTCGTGTTTACGCTCTAATAATTTAACATACCTATGGAAAATATCAATTTTGAATAGGTGAATCATCGAACTAAATGGGCCATGGCTTCAATAGAAAACTGTTAAATTGCCAGATGGCTTCATGCCTACCCATCAAAATCATCTAGAAATGGCGAATCCGTGGGCTTCTTCATGGGATTTCAGTGGGAAATCACCAACATATTCTCCGGGAAAACTGGAAAAACCCACAGGTTCTCCGCATCTTTCGGGCCGTAAACACGGCACCCCGGACATCTTTCGGCGCCTCGCCGGGGTCCTTCATCATCTCCGCAAAGGTCTCCGCAGAGGCGGGATCTTCAGTGGTCACCACGCAGAGTAACTCGCGAGTGCCCTGAGGTCTGGGAATCTACTGGAGATATATCAAGAAAATGGATGATGATGGAGATTAGCGAGTTTTAATGGATGATATATATATATATACTGGATGATAGTGAATGGATATGTATATATATATGTTATTAATGATAGTTTATATATATATAATATATACTTATGATAGAAATCAATGTATGTACGCTACGTACGTGCGTACATATGTGTATGGAGTTGTTGTTCCATCTTTTGGGGATGACCATACATATACCAAAGAATACCCTAGAATACCATAGTATACCATAGTATACCATAGTATATCATAGAATACTATGGCATGCCATAGAATACCATAGAATACCATAGAATACCATAGAATGCCATAGTATACCATAGAATACCATAGTATATCATAGAATACCCTAGAATATCATAGAATACCATAGAATACCATAGAATATCATAGAATACCATAGAATATCATACAATACCATAGAATACCATAGTATATCATAGAATATCATAGAATATCATAGATACAACGCATGTATATTGGTTCCGACCATCCTGACTTCCAGGATCATCCAAGTCAGAACCAAGCCCGGTTTTTCATCCCCTATTCCTGCTTTAAAAATCTCATGTGTTAATAGAAAATCACGGTTTTGCTACGACTTTGATCCCATTTTTGGATATGTTTGGTATCTTTCATTTAACTCATCTAGTGGGATTTATTGTATCACTGGATGAACTAACCATGATGACCATTTTATAAATTACACCACAACATACAAGATGCAACATCTAGGTCTCACACATCCGAATATGGGTCAAACCAAAAGCACAGACCTGCAGAATGGGGTACAGACGTTCTCTGGAGTTAGGACCCAAGAAATTCCACTGTTTTGTTGGTCATATGCTGGTATCCTCTACTTGATGTATATGCCGTATAGATATCCGGCATAAACCCACATAATTACTCATAATCTCTACAAAATCCCATTGCTGCTGGTATTTTGTCACATTTTGTCACCATGAATATCAATTTGAGATCGCATGTTTGTTACATTCTTTCGAAACAGTATGAGTATCAATACCTCTCTATGATTACAGTATCATTACTATTACCATTTTGATAATATAGCATTCCCCATTTCTGTCATACACCCATATGAAGCATTAGAATCACAACAAATTCCCTATCATTGTTGCTATCATTATTGTAGCCGTGATCACTGTTATCGTCAGTATCATCATGAACAAAATACTGCAACAATAATACCAAATGAATGCCACATACTCTACAACTAACCTGTTTATCATCATCCTGATCATGTACTGTACAGTATCAGAATTACTATACTGTAATCCTCGCAATCACATTCCCATGTTGACCATAGAAACCGTAGAGTACTGCCGAAGCCTGCAGTCTTATGTATATAGTATTCATGCTCCTATGATGTCTATATTCGGTAATATATGTAGATAGCTATGTATATATATATCATCTGTAGATAGCTATGTATATATATTATCTCAGAATTTTACATATAATTAATCTGAAGATATCTTAAGGATATTATACTCATCGTTATCATTATAATTAATCACTCTAACATCAAGAAACAAAATCACCACAAAAATCACCATCGGTGCTGCTTCTGTATCATATCATGCTGCATTTAATTTATCCAATATGTGACGTAATACTCATATCATATATACATTTACAATATGACATATACCATATCATAAGTAGCTATGTCATGACCATAGTTTACATACATGTAGTGTTTGTTCTCTCCCCATCTGTGCTGCTTATATCTTTATACATATATACATATACATATATTGCGTGTATATATATGTTATGTACACCAAAGATAACCATATTTTCAGAACATCTATAAAACTATATGACTGTTTCATAGCACCTTTTATGAGGATGGGTCAAAACCTATATTGGTGGAATAACAATCATTCTATGACTGAGGGTCACATGCGGGTACCAAGGTCTTGACCCATAAACATATAACTTATAACATCTCATCATTTTTGTATACAGTAAAATTACCAAAAAAAAAGTAATAACCATATATTAAACTATATTATACTATACTATATTATATCATATTATATTATATGTTTTATTATATTATAGTATAGTATATTATAGTATTTTATAACATTTTATATTATATTATATTATATTGTATTATATTATATTATATTATATATATATTGTATATATATATACATCAGAAAGATTTGTATTCATATAGAAAAACAATATTGTATTAATACAGTATAAGTATGTATAAGTATAATTACTGAAATATAAAATTATTTGATTGTAGTACAACATGTATTTATATGTATATATATATACCGTCTGGTAATTTAACGAAGCTATTGAAAATTGCCATTTAGTTCGTTGATTTACCCATGAAAAATTGTGATTTTCCATAGCAAAGTGTCAGTCTATCAGAGAGTAATGATGAACTCATCAAAAACAACTATCCATATTATTATTATTATCTATCATTGAATCATCATCTATCTATGTATATATATATACAAATATTAGTATTGTCTGTTATCTAAATTATCTATCTATAATTATTATCTATCATTATCTATTATTTATACTTATACAAATATATAATCCATGATTCTAACCATCATTCCAGGGTTCGGGAGAACAGTGAGGTCGTTAGAATTTGCCCAGAGAATGTCAACCCCAGATTAATAAACCATGGTTTAATAATCAGGGGGGTACTCCCCCAACAGTCATGATTTAATACATTGATACTTAAATAGTACCTTCCCAATTAAACAGCCGTAAACGGGGTTTATGAATCCCGGGTTGACATTATCTATCACAGATAATGGGAATCCAGTACCTTCCCAATTAAACAGCCTAGGGGTTCATTACCCTCTGGTAAACTAACATACTATTGAAAATTGCCACTTATAGTGGATTTACCCATTGAAAATGGTGATTTTCCATAGTTATGTAAACGTTTACCAGAGGGTAATCACCTGTTTGCTGCTCCTGCCACAGAATCTCTGCAAGCCGCTGGCACCTCCATCGCGGCTGACCTCAGCCGCCTCAGCGACTCCGCCGGCTCGACGGAGACCGCGAACAGCGGCACATGCAGGGCCTGGGGAAAATGTGAACTTCACCAATTTCACCCATCAAAATTGGGAAAATGTGGAGTTCATCTCCAAAAATGTTGGAAAAATGTGGAGGTTTACCTTAGGTTTAAGCATCAACAATGGTGATTTAAAGAATATTCAACCAATGAATGGTATTTTAATGTGGAGTTCACTAACAAAAATGGGGAAAATTGGGATTTAATGGGGATGACACTGATGACACTAGGAAATCTTGGAATTTATGTGGAGTTCACTAACAAGAATTGGATCTAGTGAAGAGATGAAACCAGTAAATTGTGGATAAAATGTGGTAAAATGACCAGCAATTTCGTAGGTGGATCTAGCCATATCAGTAGGGTGATCTGGGATTTGCACCAGGAAAACGTGGAGGTTGAACTACCCTCTGGTAAACATACAAAAAACTATGGAAAATCACCATTTTTAATGGGAAAACTCACTATTTCTATGGCCATATTAAATAGCTATGTTAAATTACCAGAGGGTATATGTAATCATGCAAATGAGTTTGACTGGTTTGACCAACGCAATACGGTATACCAATTGAAACAGGTGGTATCTCGGCAACATCTGGTGATTCAGCCAGGTTTTTTGATGATCTTAAGCCATTGGGTAGCCCCAACGGTTCGATGATTTCCCATACCTCGGCTAAGAATGACCAGCTCATGTCATGGCCAACCTTAGGTACCCTGCCCCCAAAACAAGATGTTTAAAGCTGCATAGTGTGGCAAAAGATGCAACTAAACGACCTATCCTTAAGGTGTACCGTTGACGCAGAATGGCAAGGTCCAACGGAAAAAATGTGGTTTCCCCAAGTCGAGTTTCTAGTTTTACACAGGTAGCCTCTGGTAAACGTTTACAGAAAACTATGGCAAGATCCACCATTTTTCATGGCTAAATCACCATTTTTCATGGTTAAATCACCATTTTTCATGGCTAAATCAACGTTTACGAGTCATGGCAATGTTCAATAGCTATGTCTGTTAGTTACCGGTGGCTATGGGATGGTCAAATCTCAAGTATTTCTACCAAAATCATCCTGAAAATCATCGCCCAAAGAATGATATATCTAATTTACTGAACCCTATCATTGATCATAACCCAAAAAAAAATATATATGCACACACTTTTGTGACTGAGTAATTATTTAAAACATTATTGAAGACATATAGAGGAATTGAACAGTGTTCAAACCCCTCAGTAATTCCATTTAATCCTGGTTGGTGAATATGGGTTTCCATCGTGGACGATGTCCAAAAAGAAATGTTTCCAACATCATCCACTAGGTTGTTGGATGTATGTAGCGTTTGGAAGACTACATGAAAAAAGACCACGACGGAAAGAAGTGTTTGGATTGTTTGGATGATGTAAAACTTTTCCCATGGTGATATTTCATGGGGATATATGGTGGTTGCCTAAAATGGTGGCACCCCCCAATGGATTGTTTATAGTGGAAAATCCAGCAATAAAATAGATGATTTGGGGTACCCCCTATTTTAGGAACCCTCCATATGGTACTATATATCCATACTAACACTATATACCATACTATACCCTATGGTATGGATATGTACAGTGTATATATATATATAGTGTTATATACAAATAAACTATATAGATAAATACCATTATGTTGTGTTATATTGTGATGTTTTGTGTTATATAGTGCTATATAGTGTTATATAATGTTATATAGTGTTATATAGTGTTATATAGTGTTATATAGTGTTATATAGCGTTATATAGTTATATAGTCTTATATAGTCTTATATACTGTTATATAGTGTTATATAGTGTTATATACCATATACACTATGGATATATATATATATATAACTATACTCACGCTATACCCATCTTCTCCCCATATGACCTGTTCCGCACCTCGGCCAGGGCCTTCCGCAGCTGCATCTTGCTCAACAAGTGCGGGACTAAGTAGCGGACCTGTCGTTGGTTCAGATCTGGAGAAATCATCAACCAACTGGGGCTTCTAAAACTTTGACTTACTGGTGCTAAACGTAGGGAATGGATGGGTTGCTGGGGGTTGCTGGGATGATAAAAATGATAGTTAGCCAGTGGATCATTCCCGAAAATTCCCTGCGTAAAACGCACCAGTAAGTTGATGTGTTTTGAAAAGAATTTGTTCTAAGCAGGAGCTGTCTCTTACTGAACGAACATTAAACTAAGATCGTGAACGTGTGGATGAACGAAAACTCTCCGCCAGCAGCGACCATGACCGAACCATATCAGGAAAGAACCCAGCGATATTGGGAGATCGCTATGGGTTCGCCACCTGCGATTTCTGGGATGCACCCCCACAAGAAGTTATGACAGAATCCACTGACCTGTTTTGCAGAAATAGGGCGGTGACAAAGCTGATTCACGATGAATCATGGCGATCTGAAGCCATGAATTCCTGCTAGAAACTACGCTCCATCTGAGATGACATTGAGATGGAGAAGTCCGAATGGTTGATAGGAAAATATCACCAATGAATAGTGGCAAATGGAGATTCTCTGGCAAAGAGTGTTCATATTATTTATCTATATATATATATACATGTTGTACATAATGTGGTAAACCGAATTTCAAAAACTATCCCCAACATGACCATAAATGGGTGGGTAAATTATTGGGTTGCCCACATTGGCTGTATATATATATGTATATATATATATATATGTATATATATATATATATATGATACACGTATGTATATATACATCTTATTTGGTACAGTATTCTTGGCTGCAGGAATTATAATATCATTCATAATTGTTAAGGGCTACAACTCATTTATCACATGAACCAAATTCATCCATAGACCTTGAAGCCTTGGGCATTACTGTAAATGCAAAATCCATAGGAAACCCCTAACATAGACCCCAGATGGATTCATCAATCATGCAAACTCATTCAGGCCAGTGAGATAAATCAAGTGCAAAATCCATACGAAACCCCTAACATAAATACCAGACTCATTCACCAAACTCATTTGGGCTACTACCCTAGATATTGCGGGTAAGCGCAAAACCCATACAAAACCCCTAACATAGATACTAGGCTGATCCACCTTACATTCCCAGCTCATCCAGACTACTATATAACATAGATGTTGAATCAAAATGTAACATTGATACAAAACCCCTAACATAGATCCAATACTACTTCACTCAGCATGCCAAAATCACTCAGGCTACCACTAACATAGATGTTGGAAATTAAGTGCAACATACATAACAAAACCACTAACATAGATATTCATTTGGATTTGCCAAGATGCGAAAGCACTAACGTAGATCTTGGAGAACATGTTGCAAAATGTAAAACCATAGAAAACCACTAACATAGCTCTTGGATTTTCATATGTAAAACCCACATTTGGAGACTAACACAGATATTGGAACACTTTATCAGGACCCTTCAAGAAACAAACGAGGATGTCGTTGATTTTCAACAAGTTCGACATCTTCGTTTGTTTTAGATAGAGTAATGTTCAATTGCCAGGTTTGTTTCCCGGGAAGTACTGAACACAAAATCTGGTGAGCCTCGGTCCGAAACTCCGTCTTCACGACCATCACGAGGCTCCTCCAAGGGAGTTGAGGGATACGGTGGGAATCACATTTGCAGCGGGAAAAGATGGAATATCCATCGTTACAATAAATAGTAAATTATTCAATATGATTACATATCACATCATATCACTATTCATTGGGATATCTTGGATATCATTGTAAAATATCGTAAAGTGTAACACAATTCAATATGATAATCTGATATCTTGGTTTGTCCGAAAATGAAGGATCCACAACGGAATCTTGACAGTTGAAGAGGGTGATACAAAATCCCTTGGAATTGGGGTAGCCCGTGTTCAAACACACCCACATGATTTTTTTGTTCCCAAGCATCCAGCCACAATTTGGGATAGCGGATACCCTCGGTATCCCTGGGTGGCCAGCTCGCCTCCTGTAACTTGGGAAATATCCAACAAGGATGGTGGCAGAACCAATCAGAAATCAATCATAGAATACCATGAATAGCTACAGCCCACCTCTGATGAATAGCTGAATAGCGGGCCATTTTGATGGTCCAAGTTTGAGTGAAAGAGTCAAGGATCTCCCAGTGCCAAACGTGCTGGGCTATTTAGCGGCTATTGGTTCTCACAACCAGCTGCGCTCGCCTGGTTTTCGTGGAAATCTTGGTGACGTCTAGCTGGTAGTTGTTCCGAAAATTCCAACTGAAACCAACTGAAACCAACGAATAGCAAGAATACCAAGATAGCTTTGAGGGGTGGGCAGATCACCGAGACATCGCATTGGATATCCAACTGCAGTGGGTCGAATCCCCATGTTGTTGGTGTTGATTTTCTTCGGCAGGTGGTGATGATGTAACCTCTTACCAGTCTCAAAATCTGACTTGGAACACCAAAAATGGGTACCACTGGACTTTTGTGTCATTTTTGGGTTCACCTTCCTTCTCACCAGAGTAACAGCGGTTGAAACAATCAGTTTTGGTGGACGAATCCCCATGCTGCATGGAAAATGCATGATTTGTTTGTCAATCTGTTTCAGGAGGGACAACCAACTCCACATTCTTCCTGGGTAGGTAGATACGATTGCTCTGTTAAATGCCTATTCGGGCTGGTTCAAATCGACAAATTTTGGGTACTTTGACATCCCTACACTTGCAGATTGAACGGTCGCTGGACACATCCCATGGGCATCGCGTCCGTTAGGTTCTCCGCGCCTGTCTTCCTGTACTTCCTGCGCAAAGGCATCCGTGTACTTTTGCACGTCGAAAGCACCTAGGTCCTGCAGCTTCGCACCTTGACCCCTGAGAAGATCTGAGATATGTTAACAGCAAACCGATCCCTAAAAAAGGGAAATGAACCAACTGGGGTATCGTGGGGCACCATTGGGGATATAGTTAGTTTAAAGGGATATACAATCAACAATTGTCTGGCTAACATAGAAATAATTCGTAAACCGTCATAAACGCCTGAAGTGTTGACCATTTTGGGGATGATTTCCCTAATCACAACCATCATTTATGGGTTTGGTTGGGCTGAGTTCGCTACAATTTGCCCTGTGAGGATTCAGTTTTTTTAAATATATCCTTTTTGATGCCCATTCTTTTGCCAGTTTTCTTGTGGGTAATCCGGCAACAAAGCTAGATACACCCCCCCAAAAAAAAGATGTTCTTTTTGGAATTTTTGAGGTTTCTTTTGGTTTCGGCACAAAAAAATGTGAGCCGAGGCTGCACAAAAAAATGATGTTCCAATGGTTTCCAATGGGTTCCATTCCAAAAGCCAACAATAGTCGTCCTCGATGTTCATCTGCAGCTCCAACACAAACATCATGGCGACCTTGGAGAAATTCCGTGGCTGTCCGAAAAAAATCACGCCATTTAAGGAGGTTTCCAATGGGGATTCCCCCAATAGCTGGATGGTTTAGTGTGGAAAATCCTAAAAAAGAATGAATGATAAATGGGGTACCCCCATGACTTAGGAAACCTCGATACGGGGCAGTCATCCCCAACCTCTTCCAATCATCGATTCAGGTGAGGTTCAAAATCACCCAAATAGATCCAAATAGGACATTTGCTGACCCTTGGTGTAGCACTGGCCAGAACAACTTGAGCAAATTCGTGGATAGCTACTCCAAAACTGTGGCTGCCCAAATGAACAAAGACAAACAAAAGATGCCCTAGGTTAAACGTTCACATAGATGTGGAAAACCCCACCATTTGTAGATCAATGTCCTAGGGAAACCATGGTTTTTCCACATCTATGTAAATGTTGGACCCTAGGGTATGGGTTGTTAGCTTGCAGGGATCCTCCAGCCAAAGGTGAAATACCAATGGATGGCCTGAGACTGTCTGGAACTTTCGGAATGGAAATTCCCCCCTTGCTTTCGCGGTCAGTGATATACCACTCTTTGTGGTTATATAGGTATCTCATGGTAACTCAAAATATTCGAGACTTTCGATGTTGAATATACAGCTACGTATATCATTGATATGGGGGTTTCCTAAAAAATGGGGGTACGCAAAATGGATAGTTTATAATGGAAAATCCATGAAAATCCTAAAACCTCCATATGGATGTTCTAGTGGGATCTGAAATCTTCCTTCCTGACGCACAACATCACCCCATTGAGCTGTCTTGGGCATCCATACTCGGCCCGTAGAATTCCGCCTCTCCAACCGAAAAATGGTTTTCCCCAAGGGATGAACATATCTCAGATGCTGAAGTCACAGTATCACTGAAAAACTTAGCGAGGTGCTAAACGCAGGGAATTTTCGGGAATGATCCACTGGCTAACTATTAATAATCATCCCCATTCCGATCCATTCCCATCCATTCCCTACTAAGCACCAGTAAGAAAATGGTCTCCTTTTGGAGGATGAAATATGTCCAGTTTGCACAGATCCCTTGGATGAATGGGTCATGGCAAAGCTATGCAGGAATCACATGGTTTCCATGTTACAACCCATACATTTCACAAGACACAGAAGTACCATGTACAGTGTATTTAGATAAAGATGGTCTTCAAAAAAATATGGTATAAGATCGTATAATCATGGGAAATCAACATATCTAGATATACTGTATCAACATATCAAATATAGCATACCATAATCATTTCAAGTAGATATACAGGATATAGATATAGATATAAAGGGATCTTCAAATAGGTATGGTATGGTAAAAGATCAAATCAAATCAAAATGAATAAGATCCCCCCAGAATTCTATAGATGGTCTTCCTTGGAAAATAACCAAATAAAATCAACCATTCTCTCCTAAAGGTCCCCCACCAGCAATCAACCCACGGTCCTCGCCTCACCAGAGCCACCGGCGGTGCTTCCGCCGTGGGCGCCGGCGGTGGAAGCGGCTCCGGCGGTGCGGTTGGCAGCGGGGTGACCTTCCGGATCCGATGGTGAGATCGGACTTTTTTTTACGATATGGATATATTATGAGTGTAAAACATGGTAATACCATGTGATATAGAATTGATCATAATCCAATATGGGCATGTTAGTGTATAATTGTAATCATATGGTATTTTGTAATGTTGATGATAATCCAATACGGATATACTCATGGTGATGCTTTATTGTATGGTGATATGGGTATCATATGGTGATTTAATGTTATATGATGTTATATGGAATACCCCCTGGTATAGATGGTTGTAAAATGTTTTATATGCTTTTCCCCAACAGCGTAAGCTAATGGCGCCTTCCGCCCAGAATAGCTCCGGTGTGCACTGGTGCAGGTGCCCGGTCAGGTTCAACGAGGTTCCGGAGAAGGTTCCGAAGGTTCTGGAGAAGGTCTGGGAGACCAACAGAGTTCCGGAGAAAGTTCCGGGGAAGGAGCTTTGGTGCAGAGCCAGGTCAAGTTCAACAGGGTTCCGGAGAAGGTTCCGGAGAAGTCCAGGAAGCCTTGGTGCAAAGCCAAGTCAGGTTCAACGGGTTCCGGAGAAGCTTGGCTTCGGTGTACAAATCAAAGACACACGGGACCACTGGCTCTGGCCTTTTTGATGCATTTTGGTCCTCATGATCCTCAATTTTACCATTCGGACTACGCGGTATTAAACCAAGAAAACGTCGTGGTTTGATATTGGATTTACCTTTTTGCAGATTATAGAAAATTGTGCGTTGTAAATATGGCGGAATGTAAATATATGATAACACTATGGCGAATACTACATTAAATATCAGTAGAATGGTTATGCGTCAATATGTGCAAATATCATTGCTCTAAAATTCAAAATGTACGGCGGATTGTGCACATGTTGATAATTTCATGATAACCTGACCGTCATTCCAGTGTGGGTATGGGTCAAAACCATTGGGCTTAAAGATGGTTTGATACTAAAGAGGACCAGCTTTTCTGGGTCTATTCAAACCCCATGTCTTTACTTAGATTTGCTTAAGGAACCCGAAACAAACAAAAAAGAACAATGTTCGGTTAAAATATATTCCCTCAGTAGTGGATTTCCCATTGGGGAAATAAGCTAAATCATCGACCCGGCAAATCAAGGTTTACCTATCTTTACCCATATTCCCGCAACAAGGGCCCCGTCAGAATTTCGACTTCAAGTCGTCTCCATAGCCCTCTCAGCATTGATCTGGGCAACAAAGTTCCATGCATGGTAGATTCGCGCCCGAAAAATGGTCAAACTAGGTTTCACCAGCGAAATGATGGTTTTACCATATTTTATCCATGAATGATGGATTTTGGTCTGCCTGAAAATGGTGAATTTACACCCACAATCTATGGCCATTTAATGGGGACAAGAGGAAAAAATGATGATAAACCAGTGGATGGAATAGATGTGTTCCCATAATGTTCAGACAATTTTGTGACTGTGCCAAAAAAAATGGGGGGATTGACTACAGTGTCTTAATCCTTGGGGAGTTGAGGTGTGCCATTTTTAGACAACCCCATGTTCGCTACATGGAATCAAGGCACATCACTGCCAGCCTTAGATCCGCAAAACTTACAAACATCGTTAGCAAATATTCCAATCCAAACTGCACAAAGAATGGATTCAACTATTCACCTAGCTTTCCCCAGATCAAAATGGAATGTACCCCCAAAAGATTGCCGTGTTCATACAGGAAATGATGATAAACCCGTGGATGGAAGGTCCGCCAAGTCAACAGGCCACCTTGGCAGCCTCAATAAAAGACACCTGACCAAATCGCCGCGGGAAAATGAAAATGATTTGTCCAGAAGATTTGTGGAAGATTTTTTGTCCTAAGATCCTTTGGGGTCCAAAAATCCTGTCATTTGTTTGGTCTTTTACTGGTTAAGTCTTGATTTAAGCAATAACGATGACCATGTCAACAGTGAAAATTTGGACTTCACCAGTATGAATTGAATTTTACCGATGGAAATTGGGATTGCACCAACGATGGAACCAGTGTGAATGAACCAAAATTTCGTGTATTCCAAGTGGGTTCAACTCCGTGCCCAAAATGGTGGAGAATCCCAAAAAGATGACGAAAAGTGGTTCCAGGCTGGTTCCAAGATGCTACAAAGCGGGACCCCGGAGATCGTTGGTGAACATCATTCCGATAACTATGGTTTATGATACGCAAAAACTACAGCAAAGTATTCATGGGGTGGGGGAAAAAAACAAACATCACTGGGGGGGGGGCCACATTGTAGATGATGTCTACCTAACATATGTCCAAGTGTCCCACTTTTCGGCATCTTTCCCCAAGAATCGCTAATCATCATGTTCCCAATGTTCCATGGCCATGAAATGTTGGGCATTTGGGGATGCATCAAGTGACTAATATTCATAGTATAACTCAGTATAAGCCACTCTGTTCTGGGATGCACATATAGTTGAATATATAGTTTATAAACCACTGGTATATAGTTTATATAGTTGACATACATAATAGTTTATAAACCACTTGCGAACTGGGATGCGCATCCAAATATACCACATGTCCCAATATCTCCATAGCGAGTTGGCTGTGTCTGCCACTCCCGTCCCCACCTGCACCGGTTGAATTTCCAAAGCAGCACCGCCCTGGCAATTTCTTTTGACGCATCATTTGAGCCATGACAAAAACCTCTTTTACCCATAGTGGCCAAGTGTGTCTAAGGGTGGCCAAACCTGTGGTTGAGCTGTGTTGCACACAAAGATATGCATCATACCGTCCTCGCAAAACAGGCAATCCTAGCCGCGTCACTTCTATTTGTTTCCCTTACCGATCACCGACTTTGCGCTAACTTTTTTCTTCAGACTTGGATCTGGCATTCGTTACATGTTTTTCAGGTTTGAATGTGGTTTTCACTTCAAAAAACAAAACAAAATCCAGATAGAAAATTGTGACAAGCACATGTTTTTGAAAACGGTTCTTGGGTTTGGAATCTTACCGCTGCGAAAGAAAATCTATATTCATTTGAAAGTAATCTACATCAATCTTCAACGGATTTCAGCGGATTTTGAAGCAAATTTACCTTTTTGAAAGGTATATACATGATTTCTGAATTACATTTGCTCCTGGTTTGAATTTAAAACATTTGAAATCTAGGCTTAATTTGATTGTGGATAAATTCAACAATCGTTTTTTGATGATTATTGACCATAAAATTAAATGTCTAAACTATTTCTGTTGCCATACAAAATTTGGAGTATATACTTTTTTGTTGGTGCCGGTTGCCGGTTGCCTGTTGCCGGTGCCGGTTGCCTTGGCCATATCACCTTAATTTTTACATGTCTACATTCCTCCATCAAGCTAGCTCACAGGAAAGCAACTGCCAAGATACAAAACAAACCTGAAATTAAGGCAAAACCATCTGGCTAGAAATATTAAAACAACCTTAGATAAAGACCAAAAACGAAACAGGAGAAAAAGCTACAGCAATGCATCCCTCAACACGCGTCAAACATCTGACAAAAGACAAACGCCGATTGATAGGTATGGCCCCCTTTGCAGGTATAATCTTCAATGAGCTGAAGATGCCAAGTTTCACTCTTGTAAGTTTTTGCTTACTTTGATATTGCAAAAAAAACGCAAGAGGAAAAGAAAGATACGAGGCAAGGAAACGCAACAGATCCAGATTTAGAATCAGTTAGCTAGATGTACTCTTGAGGCAATCGGATGCTATCCGTTACTACGGTGGGTTGAAGGGATTCGGCTGGCGTGTGTTTCTGTGTGACGGGTATAAGTTGTAACTAATGTGTTGCTGTGAGCGTATTTTCTTTATTTGAAATTGGCAAAATACATCATTCCAGGTGGGAATGGACTCTGACACTTCGAAGCATCCAAGGCCACCCCTGGAACAAGTTTCGGGCGCAGGGAAGTTCTGAGGTAAGAAAGCGCTGCTGACTGATGTTGTTTGCAGGTTGGGCACAGTGATGCTGGGTATCGTATCTGTGTATGTCTGTGTGCTTGCATGGGTAGAAAACAAATTCCTGGAATTTTTATCTGAACAATGTGGCTGGTACCGGAAGCTTCTATTGCAGATCCAAGAAGGGGGAAAAACACGCGGCGAGAACAACAGACAGTGGCACGCTGTTCTCGTTCGCCGATTCAGTCAGACCATTCGTCCCAGTGCTTGGCGCCAGTAGTGGCAACAGTGTCCTGGACACAAGCTGGATTGGCAGGTGAACATTAAAGACTTAGATTGGCGCAAAGACTGTTGCTTAATTTCGGAAGAAGCATGGGCACACCATGTGTATTGGAATTGCAATTTATAGCACCTTTGCGACTTACAGTTATTGTGCCAATGAGAGCGTGGTCCCACTGGTAAGTCTGCCTGCTGATTTGTTAAATGCCATGGAACCACTAGATGTTGAACAAGCAACGGCAACAAAGCAGATAAAACGCATCTTCTTCCCTGGGATTCGAAGAGGGCTAGGGGCCTTGCGTCAGGACTTGTCATGAAAAAGGGATTAGGGGTTTTAATCAACGCTATCGCCGCCTAGCCAAGTCTATACTTCAAAGTTACGGAGGCGCCAAAAACACACTTCGCCAAAACCCCACGTCAAAAAAAAACAAAAATAAAACAAACATGCACAAAGAAGTTGGAACTGACTGCAGCTATCACTCGCGCACCTTTTCTGCCGACAACACTGGGAAGTGCCAAGTTCAATTGCCTGGTTCAGGCTTTCGAGATCATCAGCCATTCGTATAGTTCCATCTGATCAACGCGGCAAGAGATGCATTTCAAGACATTTGCGACGAATGCAAAAACATCAATGGTCACTGGGTGTGACCTGCAAACCAACATCTGCATTTTTCCCCCGCCAACATGATCACGGGCTGTCAGTCCAAGGGGTCGGCTGCACTATGATCCGGCGAGGTTGATTCCGCGAATGATCAAACAATGGACATGGCGTCAAAGTGTCTCACCTTGCCAACCCAAAGGAATGATGACACACCTGCTTGGACTTTTGAGAAAACATCACGCATGAACGCCTTTCTTGAGGAGTGCCCACTTTATCTATGTTTCTGCATCCATAAAAAAATGCTACTCAAATAAGAAACGACGAAGACCAAGAGGGAAAAAACAGAACGAGCCTCAACTTGCTCCGAGGTGACCCACCACCCAGGATGGCCAAGGGTCACGTGGCACGGCATGCCGTCCCACCTTGTGCCCGTGAGCCAACCCTGGAGGTTCACCATCGGCACCTGCTTCTTAGAAGAAAATATAAGGAAAAACAAAAAGAGCGCGGCGCAAACAAAAAAAAAACTAATCGCGAACCGTCCTCGTCGAAGACAAGCCACAAAAATAGCTTGTGGTCCTGACCAAGGGAAAAAAACACAACAGAACACTTTCACCAACACAATGCGCGCCTCGAAGCGGCCAAGGTGGAGCTTACCGCTCCACTCACCCCCCTCAATCCTAGCCACCAGCTCCTTTGGCTGGTGGCTGGCAACGTCCTGAGGCGAAGAAAACAACATGAATACGTGTCGCGTGTATATGCATGTAATAGAACCTCATCGGTGAATGTAGTGTGAGATTTATCATGGGCAATCGCTCATGTTCTCAATGCTGATACCTGCTAACTACTCACGCAAACAGACAACAGCACCAACAGCAGAAACAACATTTTGCACCGGAGCCTTTGTTGCCATCGCGAAATCCTGTCCAAACAAGGCAAACCTGAATACACATAGCGACATAGCAATATAATATAGAAAAAGCGCACCAAGGCGCGCGCCGCCGAGGGCTGATTTTAAACACGTAACGAGAAAAGTAAACAAATGTCACCACAAGCTAATATCGGACCATAGTGATCATACAACAAAAAACAAGCAGACCAAGCCGATAGCGAGAAACAAACAATCACATGTGGCATAGCAGATTTAATTTGGAATTTATGTGTATGTCAAAAAAAAGTAAAGTTGATTGAAAGTTGATATTAATTGAAAAATCATTTACTGCAAAATTGACTTATATGTGCGTTCAAATGAATGTAAACTTACCTTTGAAGGGTAAGATGCCAAAATCCAAAGACAAAAGCCAAAATGAAAAAAAAGTACCTGTCACAATTTCTATCTGTTTTGATTAGTAAAGTTTGCTATTATGGGTTGTAATTGGCACAAGAAACCCCAATAAACCAGGTAATACAATCTCCCAATTCATAACCAATGAACAACGGTGCTTTTCATGGCTCAAATTGATCAATTTGCAAATTATATGTAAATTATATTTACATATAACTATATACACTTGTGTATCTATATATATTTATATTTATATTTATTTGTATATATCATTCTATATCATGCTATATCATTTATAAAAATATACATATATATATATATATATTTATTTATAATGTAATCCGTAACAGTCGTTTATTTGACAATGAAAGCATTAATTACATTATATCGTTACGAAATTATTTTCAGCACAATTTTATGTATAGTTGTTCAGCACAATTTCATACATATGTATAAATATACATATATATATATGCTACATGTAAAATATACCTATATACATTATATAGTTGATTATTGATGGTAACATTGTTTAGTATCACTTTATAGAGAAGCACCAACTTATACAAGTAACCCTAAGCTGGCAGATCATTGTGGATGACGATTTTGCCATCCGATTTGACCATAGGCTGCTCCAAATAGTTTTGTTGGGGGATCCGAGCACCACTTGAGTGGTTGTTTATCTGGATGACTTATAGTATTTACCCATCTAGAATCAGGAGAATTCCCACATTACTATATCTGGGGTGTTACTAATTACTAGAATTTGTCATCTAAAATCATTTACTCCCAGTCTGGCATACTTACCCCTTGAAGCGTTGGGTTACCGTCTTCAATAAATACTGAAATACTGGGGCTCATTGGTCGAAGACTTCTATGGAAAACACGGCTCGTGACCCGTTGGCCAGAGCCCACATTCCACTGACGTCGCGAGGTCCGCGCAATCTGTCCAGATGTTAGCGGACGTACATCTCAAACTCCTTTTTAAAATCAGTGAACAAAGGTTTGCTGAGGTAACATCACCTGTTACTGTTACATCTATCCTGTGACTAACTTCTTCACTGGGTTTCGTTCACCTGGAGTTTCAACATGGCTCCAAGCATGGCTGATCTGAGATACCCTGGAGGAAGAAGAAATGTGGGTGTGTTTCCCCATTTACCCAAAATGAACCAGTATCGAAGTTGCTCCAGGCTATCCAAGAATGAATCTTTAGTATATCACGTTTACCCCAGGGTAAACGTTTACATAGATGTGGAGAAACAACATTTCTAGATATTTCCTAGGGATTTCCCATGGTTTTTCCACAAGTTTCTGTAAACGTTTGCCCTAGGCTAGTTCTGCTTATGTGTCAAAACTAACCCAGGCCCCCTCCGGACACCAAACTTCGGTAGCCGCTGCACCTTCCACTGGTGCAATGCCTGGCGCTGAGCTGCGGATACGTTCTTGGAGGCGTCATGGACAATTCCCCACTTAATCAAATGCCCCCCAATACCCTCTGGTAAACGTGGATTTACCCATTGAAAATGGTGATTTTCCATAGTTTATGTAAACGTTTACCAGAGGGTAATAATTTTCATGCGGTTAAAACAATCATAAAGTACCCATGACTGGGAATGGCTTATAGATGTTTACAGCACCTATCTATGATGATTTTGGGGATGGTTTATGCATCCAAACATGGCTGGATTTTTTTCGACTCAATTGATCGCAGAATCTGGGGAAGATCCAAAGAATTCAAAAATTCGTGAGTTTGGTGGTAGACATCTGTTTGAGAATCTGACACATGGATGTTTGTAGATTTGTTTCCCCAATTCTTGGCGGCGTGTTGATCTCGTGCTAAGTTGATTGAAAGTGTTATTCGCATTCATGATGCACGGTAAAGACATCTAGTCCCAAAAAGGCTGAAAGGCTAGGTGAATGGTTGCAAGCCATCCAGATCATTTACAGTAAATGGTGGATGTAAATCCCGCGTTCCACGCTCGAGTACAGGAGGTTATGTTCTATCTACGAATGAAGGAAGCTCTGTTGCCATCTTGAAATTGTGACAGAGTTTAGGGGCCGTAGTTGTGGAGTACTATATCCCTATACTATCCCATTTTAGTACCTCACCGATATCTATATGTATCCTGTATACAGTACATATATATATACATCACCTACATCACATACCATATCCAATTATTGTGATATCATCATATGGGTTATGTATCCCATTATATCCGATTATACCTATCACATTTTGTTGATTTTATATTGCCTTCATATTTTAAAAAATGTCAACGTGTGTATAGATCTACAGATCCATCATTTCTTATCATGCTAGATTTTAAGCCCATCCATAGGTGGTTTTTTGGGGGAAAATTATTTGCCATGTGTCAACCCAACTGTAACTTAAATGGAAAAAAAAAACATGGACCATTTGCTACCTAGTGTGCTAACCCAATATTACTATATCTGATACAAATCCCCACCTGTAGATATATCTGTGACAAATCCCAGTTGAAGTGATAAACCAACAGAGACCTATCATCAGTTCACGAAAAAAACCCTTTGTTTGTTGGTTAGATTCGCAATTTGCGGATTCAATCCCCATCGTATAATATGATATGGTGGGTTCCTAAAACATGGCTACCCAAAAATGGTTAGGTTTTTTTTGGGAAATCTATCTATAAATGATAAATGGATGAATCCAAGTTGTCAAATTACTACATGTCTTTACCCTCTGCTAATTCAACGCAGCGTTCGCTGGAAAATCACTAGGTAAAGTTGCTGTAAATCCCATTAAATTTCACGAAATCCCCACGGGTTTTTTGGTTAGATCCCTATTTGGTTTTTAAAAAAAAGTCGTACAAACTCCATTATTTTTGGTTATATAAACCATCATTTTTGCTGGTCAAACCACCATTTCTTGGGGTCCATCGTGTTTTAAGCCTTATCATTTCCCCACCTGCGCCAGCAGCGGCTTCAGAGTCACTAGCATGGCGCGCAGGTCGCCCGGCGTGCGGCCCTTGGGCGGTCGGACCTCGAAATCGTCGAAGCAGAAAAGGAGGAGAAAAAACACCTTACTACTGTGGATGGAAGAAATCCTGCACCAGTTGATAGGTGGTTTGGAGCCCTAGGCTTGGTTATACCTCCAGTATTGGTTGATAATTCCTAGAATCATTCCATTCATTTGCAGATCCATTCATCACTGGGGTAGAGAATGGGGCCCCCAAGATAATGGTTTATAAACCAACTTATAACTGGGGGGCCCATCCTGTATGTGATTGGGGATATTCCATCCATATACCTCATGAGTTTATCCATTTGGGTTGATAAAAATCTCCAACTTTTGGGGAAAAAGGGCAGGGAAGCAGATAATCATCAGAGAATCACCAGATATTACTACATGCTGTGGATGGAAGAAATCCTGCACCACCTTGGATGGTTGAAACCCGATAAATCATGGGATAAACCACCTATCAACCGGTGCAGGATTTCGCAACCATCCACAGTATATCGGATATATACATATATACATAGAAAGGTTAAAAGGAATGGACCGTGCTTTCTTCTTTTCCCACTACTATTCTGGAGCTCTAAAAAGTTCAGGCTACTCTGAATCGTTGTGATATCTAATAGTGAGCATTGTCATCAAAGACGTCAAGTCAACAACCCGCCAACCATCAACCTTTCAAATCACATGCTGACCCTCCTCCCAACCAACTTACTCACACGTAAAATTATATATATAGCACCTTTTATAGTATAGATGTGTATATCCACTGCGATATATCCTTGATTCTCATAGAATTACCTTACTATGTATACAAACACCTTAGTAAGTTAGTATGGATATACCCTTCGGCTGGAAAATCCCTGAACTAAATCAAGGTTTATAGACAGGAAAATCATCGAACCATTGGTGGATTTTCCAGCAAGCCATGGGGCTGATTGCCGGAGGGTATCCACCATAGTATGATCAACTTTTAGATGTTTAGCATCTTTTTACATGTACTAGGTTTCTACGAATCTTTTAGAACAAAACAATAATTTCCCTCTTAGATACCAATCCTTAAAATCATATGATCTTTCAAATCCCTGAACTTTAGGAAAAGATCCGTATATTCACAGCAACTCGTGGATACTGAGTGAAAACACATATCTGGTGTAGCTGGTCTTGATGTGACATCATCGACCCCATCCGAAAATATGCTGGTCATGAAGGATCGTCAACATCCCAAATACCCTCTGTTTATTTAACATAGCCATGGAAAATGGCCCATTTATAGAGGTTTACCTATTAAAATGGTGATTTTCCATGGCTATGGTAAATAACCAGATGGTAAATTATGATGCGTTTTATTAAATAAAACCACCAAGTAGATCCAAGTAGAAGTTTTTTCTACAAATTGGCCTTCTTGTGTGGTGGACGCCATGATAAACCACATCCCGAGCACCTCCAACAATGGAATTATTTGCCTGTCATGAGTTTACAACTTGCATACTGTTTGTATATAATTATATAATGACTTATAATAAACATTGAGACTGAGACACCTAATTATATCCATGAGAAAGGTGCTTTGATATCTTTGATCATATTGATATCTTGGAGGTTGTTGCCGGTGCTCAAGCTTGATGGCTCGTTCTAGTCCCGCACCACATGGCTGTATCGTTTGAACATCAACATTTAGAGGTTCATCAAAAGAACAGTCATCCATTCAGGTGGTGGCACCCTCCAATGTCATCAGCTCCATTGGTGCATGGCTGGAAAATCCACAAGCGCACTTCAATGATTTTCCCAGCTAGAAACATTCCATGGCTAGTTCAGGGATTTCCCAGCTAAAAATAGCCAAGGGATTTTAATTGCCGGAGAGCATTTCAAAGGTTACTAAAAATCCACATTTCATGGGACATTTCCATACCAACCAACCTGTGATTTACAGAAACGTGGCTAGTCTTGCATACCCTGCAAGAAAGACAGCTCTTAGCCGGTCAATCTCCATCCAAATGCCGATTACTTGGTACTTGGTACGACCCATCACCCGCTGCTTTTCCCCAAGTCTTGATGGTCAAATGTTCATTGTATCTGCCTAAACCCTCCATTCATGCCAGCTAAACCAAACAGTTCGGCCATTTCGGAAAATGATCCCTACAATTCCCATCATTCCAGTGACGTCGCGACGTGAGGTCGTATTTATCCAGATATATCACTGTACCAGTTATACTCCCACTATAATCGAATTATATTCAAATGATATTCCCATTCTATCCCCATTCCACCACATTTTTTCTCCGTTAACCCCCCAACTTTTGATGGTTAAACCATCCTTTTTTGTTGCTTAAACCACCAGTTGGGCTGGTAAAACCATCATTTTGGCTGGTTAACCCCACCCAGAACCCTGTGCCAAAGGCACCACCGCATGCACATGTCGTCCTTCGTCCGTGGCCCTTGTAGTGACATCCACCTTGATTCCCAGGGTCCGCAACATACCAAAAAAAAGGTAGAAAGGAAATCTGTCATGATTTTAGTGGGGAAAAAAAGTGTTCTATCTTTTTTGGGCTTGCTGTAGATATCATCAATTTTTCAAGTGGGACGTGTCCCGAAACGGGGTATATTCGTATATCCCATTGCTATCAAGTTCTTGTTTCGGGAAATGCTGTGGGGCACCCTGTCATTTTTGGGGGTCCCATTGCTATCTCAGTGCTTCAAGTGAAATGCATGATGCTTCAAGATTTTTTTCAATAGGTAAAATATTTTATATGTGGCTAAGGGGACAAAGCTTCCAGGAATCAAACATGGCAATGGAACTCTTCCCTGTTGAAGACTTAAATCACCAGTGTTGATAAGAGTTAAGTGAATTTCTTCGACAATGACGATGCATTGCTTCAACTGGGTGCCAAAAAAAATGGAGCCGGCCAGCTGGTTACTGTAAAGAGGCTAGAAATGGATGCAACATCTGAGCGGTCCAGCCTTTCAACTGAAGAAATCAGGGCACTGGATGGCACTGGCACGTTCCGTCAGTTCTACATGCCTAATTTTCTTTGCACCTGTAAAAATTACTAGTGCGCTTTTTAGCCCCTAGAAATTTATGGTTAAAGACCCAGATATTAGCATCATTTTCTATTTACCACATATTACCCATATATTACCCACATATTCCCTCTATTGATTGTGTGTCCATTGGCAACTTCTTTTTTGTTGACCTGCAGCTGCGCAGGCTGTACATGATTAAATGCAATTTAATGGTAAATCACCAACAAGATTTTGATTTCGTGGGATTTTAACCGGATTTCAAAGTACAAAACCACAACCATTTGCTTCGTGTGACACTTGACTGAGAATGCAGTCATCCGATTCTGGAAGAAAGTATTTGGAACATACGTTCATCGATTGATTTGATTCTGCTTACAGTAAACGATAAGAACCAACTCTGTGTAAATGTTGCAACAGACAAGCCCGCCCCATCTGCCACAGACAAGCCCTCGACATAGAGACAGATACCCCACGATACTACCCATGGAAATTCAAGGCTCAAAGGAATGACCATCACACTACAGGTCTATTTTTCTACCAATTCATAGGGTCACAGAGAAACTGATGATCTGAGCTCCAGCACGTACTTACTCTTCACCTGGCCATGGCCATGGATTTCCGAGCCATCCTTGGGCTTGGTAGGGTTGGCTTGAGGTAAACCTCACCTTCCACATGGCCATTTTTTCGTCTGAAAATAGGGGTCCTCACAAAATCCAGTGCTGGATCATGTTCCTTATTATTTGATGGCCCATTGTAGATATACCTCATTTTCATACCCAAATCCATGATTCATGGATGAAATATGATGAAAAAACACTATGTTTGATGCTTAAATCCAGTTTGATCTGTTCATTGGCTTCAAATCCCCAACCGCCGCTCTCCCTACCGTCGTCTCCCCACCTGTGCTTTCTGCGCGATGCTTCGTTGAACTGTGGTGACCAAGTCTTCCCTAGCAACGACGGTCCGACGATGGGCTGTACCCTCCGGTAGTCTGAGGTGGACATGGAAAATGCTAAGTAGTGATTAATATAGGGTGATTAGTGGTTAATATATGGCTATGAGTCATAACCCTGGTACCTAGTGAACGACAAAACAGCTGGTAAATGGATGTTCATCCCATTAAAATTGATACTAATAGGTTTTGACCCATCCCCATATGGTGATTGGTGGTTCATAATGATTAATAGTATTTAATAGTGGTTATCGACTAACTGATCACACGTGCAGGCTAGGAGTTTTTGATATTTTTTGATTCATATGTATGACCATGGGATTTTAACTTCCATGTGTTGGGTTTTTAAAGCCCCAATTCCTGGGCAGCAATCCCCAAAAAAAAGATGGATTTTGTTTAATGAAATTTTGCCATAGACAAGTACAATCCCATTAAAATAGTGGTAAATGACAGGTCTATCTTTTGGGGGAGTACTATATCCTCCAAATCCTTCCTTTTTGAGTTGAAAAACTCGACTTTCAACTCACGCAGATTGGGGAAAAGGTATGACAAGGTCCATTCCAGCTATGAGTGGTAAAAGAAAACATCTGGAAATCAGACTTGGCGTGGGAAATCACCTGCCGGTGTTTTTGCAAAAATCATCCAGGAATGATCGATTTGGGTATACCAGTACCTCCTTGAACATGTGGAGTAACACCTAGAAGAAAATTTGCTACAGAGCTCTCCAAAAAGACTCACCAAGTTGGCTGGTTGAGTTCAGGATATTTACCAATGCCTTTAGAAAGTCGCAGTGACCTACCATTCACCAGTCCGTATTGTTCTCCATAGCTTTTCTCCATATTCATGTCCCTCTTTTTATCCCTATAATTCCGCATGTTTCTCCCTTTTTTCCTGGTTATCTCCCAATTCATCTCCCTATGTGCTATTCATATTCTTGCTTTTTCCCCTATCCTCTCTCTCTCTCTCTATTTCTCTCTCTCTCTCTCTCTCTTTTTCTCCTTCGGATAACATACGTGTAGACGCTTCCCCAACATGCCGCTCGGCGGTGAAATTCCCCAACGGCAAAACGTAAGCCATTTTCACTCTTCGGTCCCCTCGATCCCCATCATCATCAGCTGAGTTGCTCCGAAGCAGCATCCTCAGGGCATATTCTCATCGAGAACCAGAGGTGAATTTCTGCACAAAGTTCTGCACATAAAATCTTGAAATCAATGTCAATCAATGGGAATTTCTCAAGAAAATCCATTGGATTTCAGCGATGAAGCGAATTTTTACCATTTTGATTTAAACTGAATCTGCAGGTCTTCAATTTGTGACATAATTCAGAATGGCTTTTCCAGCCCTGGCCTGCTTGCAGACATCGTTGGCAGATGGTCATGTGCGTACCCCGCATCCAAATGGTTTCATGTTTATCAACAGTGGGTATATCGTAGTATATCGCGTACCAAATGGATGTTTCACGTCGCGACGTCGACGTAAAACCCCTGGAATGATGCGTTTCGTGTGGGTAACTGTCCCAAATAGCCAAACTTGATAAAGCTTCGTGGTTAGTGAAAAACCCAGAATGCCCAAATTTTCAGAGCCCCAGATTGTGGCCATGCTGTTCACATGCTGTTCACCAATCTCATCCCATCGATGAATCCCATGCTGGTCACCAGGCTTAGGTCTGGAGTGTCTGGAGGTATGGTTTTATCAAACTGCACAAAGATTCAGAAAACTGGACCAAACTGGGCCAAAAAGGACCAAAGTTTATCAGCTCTGATCAGCATCCTGAGGAATCCTAGTCCTAGCAAAGTTTTTCTTGCCTCGTAAGCGATCCAGATCATATTGAGTCTCCCAGAAAAACGGTAAAGTAATCATGACTATCCCATGTTGTAGTCTATTCGGCTTTACGTTCTTCGTGTTTGGGATGTTCAAATACCGGAGTTTCGACCTATTGTGTGTACGAATCAAGAACAACAATCATTTCCAGGGGAAATTGCGCTGAAAACACTGTTAGAAAACATGGATGTGTCTGAAGATAGGCTACAGTACCCCATTCCATCCACTCTTCAAGCATCATACTGTGGATGGGCCAGCGAAATCCTGCATCACCTTGTATGGTGAAGAAACCCCAACAAAATATTGGGATGCCGCTGGCCCACAATATTCTTCGGATGATCCCGGATGAGCCCCTATGGCCATCAATTGAGGGTGAGATTCCTCCGAACCCCAAATCCACGGAGTAATGGTGCGTGTGTTTTACGCAGGGAATGAGTTCGGGACTCATCCATTTCACTAGTTTCATGTCATCATCCCAGCAACCCCCAGCAACCCAACGCACCAGTAAGTTATTGATGAAACGTGGTTTTTCAGCCCAGTCTCTTGGCCCTTGAGATTAAAATCCAGCTCCTTTCGTCCGAGGATGAAATCATCAAATCAAAAGCCAACGGGCCATTTTTTGGAACCAGTTGGCCGATGGGAGCTACTTACCATTAGTATTTTTGGTTTATGATGGGATATCCTCAAAAATTATAATTTCAGGGAATATCCTCACAATTCAGATTAGGTATGGCTCAAAAATATTCCAATATTTCAGGATTTTTTTCATAAGGCCTAAATTTCAGGGATCCCCACAATTCAGAGCCAAAAATATCAGGTACTGTTAGGACCTCCATGTTAGTATCCTGAAATTCCCATTGATCAAATATCGGCCAAATGCTTTGGGCTTTGGAAGTATGTTGAGATATGTTGGCATGTGAGAAAAATGGAGATAGCTTCAGATATCATGGTAATGTTGGTAAAACAATAATAAACCATCCATTTGGGAATGGTTTATAGCACCTATTTATGGTGATTTGGGGGATTGTTTATTATTGTTTTACCCACATTATCTTGAATGTACAAACGGAGATACCGTGACATACCATGGCAAACATCTTCGAATGCCCAGCTACCATTCGGAGGGCATTCGGATCTCGGCGTAGATGTGGAAAAGCCACCATTTCTAGATCGTTTTCCCAGGCAAACAATGGGTTGTTGCACATCTGGGCAAATTAGAATATTTCACTAACCTGAATAGTTCGGCCATAAAAGGGGATGATTTCCCTTACTAACCATGATTTTCAGGGCTCGGTCGCAGTGAGGTCGTAACTATAATTTACACAGATCTATGTGAATTTACCCTAAGTTTTGGTTGTATGCCCATGTCTTTGGTTGAAGCCTCTATTGTGTGTATACCCTAATTCCCACTGAATGCAGAATCCGCACATGGGGCCCACTAAAGTCATATTCCCTATGTGGGAAAAACAATGCCATAACCCACCCATGACTGGGAATGGTTTATACCATCTATTCATGGGGATTGGGGGGATGGTTTATTAAATTGTGTTACCCACATTACGCGAAAAAAAAACCGAGTGAAACAAGTTATAAAGCAACTTAGCTAGAAAACCCCCACCTTGTAAATAGATTGATTATCTTTTTTCTGGGCCCATTGATATCCCATTTCTGAGCCAGTTTTTGGTGAATGTCTAGCCACCAGCTACCAGTGTATTGGTACTATGTATTAAAAAATCACCTTTTTCACCCATTTGGAGACGGCTTCAACGAGTTAACCTTGACAAGTCAAACCCTGCGCTCCACATCCAGTTTCTGCGAACCTTTGCCTCGGAGCGTGGAAGGATGGAGTTTTCATGGGGAGTTTCCAATGAATATATGTACTTGTGCATGTAAATATATATATATATTATTCATGTATTTATTTATTTATTTATCTATCTATCTATCTATCTATCGATCTAAGCTATCTATCTATCTATCTATCTATCTATCTATCTATCTATCTACCTAAGCTATCTATCTATCTATCTATCTATCTATCTATCTATCTATCTATCTATCTATCTATCTATCTATCTATCTATCTAAGCTATCTATCTAAGCTATCTATCTATCTATCTATCTATCAATCTATCTATCTATCAAGCTATCTATCTATCTACCTAAGCTAGCTAGCTAGCTAGCTAGCTAGCTAGCTAGCTAGCTAGCTATCTATCTATCTATCTATCTACCTAAGCTATCTATCTATCTATCTATCTATCTATCTATCTATCTATCTATCTATCTATCTATCTATCTAAGCTATCTATCTAAGCTATCTATCTATCTATCTATCAAGCTATCTATCTATCAAGCTATCTATCTATCTATCAAGCTATCTATCTATCAAGCTATCTATCTATCTATCTAACTAGCTATCTATCTATCTATCTATCTGTCTGTCTGTCTGTCTATCTATCTATCTATCTATCTATCTATCTATCTAAGCTATCTATCTATCTATTTATCTATCTATCTATCTATCTATTTATGTATATATATATATATACTCACTAGATATTACATCTTGTGTGCACATATATACTATGCACATGTATGCACATGTGTGAGTCAGGTCCCAGAATCCCATCCCTGTTCATATATGTACATAGTGTATATACATATATATATAGTGTATATAGTCTTAAAATTATATATATATATAATAGTGTTTATATGTAGTCCGTGTATACATTCAAAAGAAAAAGAACGGTCTGTTTAAATGTATAGAGTTATTTCTGTTGTTGACTTGATACGTGTGGATGCGAGGAAAAGAGGAATTGAATGCATTCAATCATATTCAAAGAAGTTAAACATTTATAACATAGATAAATAGTATATGAGTATAGGTAGATGGTGCAATGAATAGGTATATATCTAGATATATAACAGTTATATCAACATGTCATGTATGTAGATAACCTATATAGGTAGATTTTGCTTCATCAAAAAGCTAGGGGAATTGGTAGTTTCCCAAAGCTGATTGCAGGTCATCAAGCCATCAAGTTGCATCATGTGTGGTGATGTGATGGATCTCCAAACATTTGTCCACAGAAAGGTTGAATAGTCTGGATTTTTCAATGAATACGTATGCCTACACATATATGTATACATATATATACATATATAATATACATAATATATATTTTATATATATATTATACAATATATATATAATATATATTTAATTAT